TATGTTTGCATGCCAGTTGTGTCCGTGAAGTTGTTGTGTGGCTTTGCCTACGCGATGAGTGCTTTGCCGTCCGCAGCCAATCAAATGAAGTGGGAGTATCGATTGACTTGGAGCTCATAAGCTTATCAAGCAGTGAGTTGATCTATAGCGTGAGAAAGGCCTGGCGGAGCCAAGGCATGATAAGTTACGGGCGTTTGCCCGTAACTAAACACCTTCCGCCGCTGGCGCTGGAATCATAACGAAGCTAGCAAGCCCACTGGTCAGGTGTCAAGATATGGGACGGGAAATGGCAACGGCGGCTTGTGGTGGAGAACAACAAATACTCAATACGAATGCTGCTAGCGGTAACTGTCTTCTCGGTTTTTATAAACGTCTGGTTAATTGTTTTCCATAGTTAGCGGCCAGCAGTCTGAAATACACCAAAGTCGAAGAAAAAGACATGCAGCATCCCTCTTCAACCGCCTCACTTCAAACGCTAGTCCGGCAAAGCAGAAATGTGCATAGGCCGCTCACCGAGATAGTATATTACGGCTCTTGATGCTGATATACATTTTGGAATCGTAAAGAACGCCAAGTACACCGACGCAAACGCCTTCGTGAAGTTTGCGGACGGTCAAGAGGTAGGTGGAGGACACTGCCTCAACTGCACAAAACAGATGGACATCAAAAACCAAGTTCTCGGTAAGCAAAGTACCGAAAAGTTTCAAAACGTATTTCGGTCACGTTGCGTGACCAGAAAGCCGAGGTCTCTAGTGGCTTCGAGCATAAACTTAAAAACCGACAGATAAAGTCCAAAATGTGAAAGAAAGCGGAATGTTTATATTCGAAAGCTATTTGAAATAATGTTACAGCTCATGCAGTCAATTTTTTCACCATTTCCGTAACTTTCTCTATGTTTGCGCCGAGGACTCGATCTATGACTGCGCCATTTTTGTATCCTATGATGGTAGGCATCGACGTGACTTCAGAACTTTCCGCTAAGGCCTAAAAAGCAAAGAAATTCCATTAGCGCACACGGACGGACGGAACACGCAAAAGCACCACATAAATTAGCTACTTTCATGGGTCTTGTCTGGCTCAGGTCTACAGCATATTTATGAAGTAAGATGAAACGCATTAAAATTATAAATCAGGATTCAGAAATAAAACGAGATCAATATTTTTATACCTGATGATTATCCACATCCACCTTCAGAAACACAACATCCTTCGTATCTTCAGCTAGTTTATCTAGCATTGGAGCGAGCCGTTTGCACGGTCCACACCATGTTGCGTAAAAATCGACAATCACCGCACCGGTGGCTATCTTTTGTTTGAATTCCTGAAATAAGTAGAGAAGAAATAGACACTTATTAAATTTAGCATTAAAGCAGCTAAATATAGTTAGATGTTAGAGTACTCCGAGGTGCCTCAAAATAACCTTAAGAAGAGGGGATACTTCTCCGATAGCAATTTCCTAGACAGTTTTATCTATAGTCGTTATAAAATGCCTAGCTTCTTCCTCATTCCTGGGCTACTTGGAGGGTGCCACTTCCACCAATCAGAGTACGGAATACTGGCAGGAATTTAGATTTTAGTAAATTTATATCAAGGACGTTACAGCAAATAGCTGTACATATATGTGCATAAGTTTCCTTTGCATAAGGATCCCTAAACATGCAAGAAAAGCATAGAATGGCTGCCTCACCTCTAACTACCAAAGTAAGTAGAAAAATTAAATCACCTCTTCAGAAGAAATTTCTTGAACGGTCTTATTTGGAGATGATGCAGCTCCTTCCGTTAATTTTTTCACCATTTCCGTAATCTTCTCTATGTATGCGCCGATGACTCGGTCTGTGACTGCACCATTTTTGTATCCTATGATGGTAGGCATCGACGTGACTTCAAAGCTTTCCACTAATGCCTAAAAGGTAAAGACACCATACACTGCACAAGAAGGGATTGAAACGCAAAACACCACATAACTTAGCTACTTGCATTTTAAGAATGGGTCTAATTTGGCTCAGGGCTACTGCATATTTATGAAATAAGATGAAATGCAATAAAATTAACAAATATCAGGACGTTTAATTCAGAAATGAAATGGGATTCGTATTATTTTCTCCATCGAATTACTCCTTCGCCAGTGAGGGCCGGAAGGGTTTTTCATATGAGAACTGTTATCGTAACATGTACATTGACCATAAGCCTGATATTAATGAACAGTTTGAATGATCTATGGGTTAATTATGTGAAAGCATATAGAGTTGACGACTCGCCGGTACCTGATACTTATCCACATCCACCTTCAGAAACACAACATCCTTGGTATCTTCAGCTAGTTTATCTAGCATTGGAGCGAGCTGTTTGCACGGTCCACACCATGTTGCGTAAAAATCGACAAT